TTAAATCTTCATCATTTTTAAATTTTCTAATGCAGTTTGACATATATCATGCAACATGAAATGTTTTCAAGTTATTCCTGACTCAGTGTGGGTGGTTCGCACAAACTATACTATCAACTGACTATGAAGACTGTTGACACCAAGTCTCTGTCTAAATAATTGATCTGCTAGGATGACCCCAAAAATATCTGTAATTAATTATAATAAAATTACAGACAGAGCGGCAGAGATCTCAGGTAAGGGGAGGGACATAGACTCCACACTTAAGAGTCAAGAAGTGAGAGAAAGAGAACCTGGAGGACCACAGACAGAACAACAGGGATCTCAGGGAAGGGGAGGGACACAGGCCCCACCCCCAAAAGGCATGAAGCAGAGAGGTTTCGAACAGCTAAGGGAGACAAACTTGTCTGTCAGTTTGTCATACTATGGTGGTTTGTGTTTTGCTTGAATGCTTTGAGGCTGTGCCACTGGTGTTCCAAATGCCATCAGGGTTGTACATGGTGCACAGGTTTCAACGCAGCTTACAAACTGAGACAGACTAGGTAGAAGGAAGAGGCCATGCACATCTCAAAGTATTGGCCAGGGAAAACCTTATGAATAGCAGAGAAACACTGTCTGATACAATACTTTTGAATAGCAACTTTATGAATAGCCCAGAAACATCGTCCAATACAGTGCAGGAGGATGTGCCCCTTAGGTTAGAAGGCTCTCAAAATACAACTGGGAAAGAGCTGCATCATCAGAGTAGAATCAACCTTACTGATATGGATAAAATAAAGCTTTTGAGACTTCCATTTGCTGACGTGCCATGACTCAAATTGAGGAGAAACAGCTTCAAACATCCATTAATAATGGGAACATGGAATGTTTGAAGTATAAATCTAGGAAAATGGGAAATTGTCAAAAACAAAATGGAGCCCATAAAGATTGATGTCCTAGACATTAGTGAGCTGAAGTGGACCGGTTTTGGACATTTTGAATCAGACAACCATATGATCTACTATGCCAGAAATCACAATTTGAAGAGGAATGGTGTGGCATTCATCATCACAAAGGAAGTTTCAAGATCTGCTTTGAAGTACAATGCTGTCAGTGATAGGATAATATCCATATGCCTACAAGGAAAACCAGTTAATATGACTATTATTCAAATTTACACACCAACCACCAAAGCCAAAGATGAAGAAATTGAAGATTTTTATCAACTTCTGCAATCTGAAATTGACAGAACATGCAATTAAGATGTGTTAATTATCACTGGTGACTGGAATGCAAAAGTTGAAAATAAAGAGGATTCACCAGTAGTTGGAAAATTTGGTCTTGGTGAATAATGCTGGAGATCACATGATATAATTTTGCAAGACAAACAACTTATTCATTGCAAATACCTTTTTGTCAACAACCAAAAATGGTGGCTATACACATGGACTTTGCCTGATGGAGTACACAGGAAACAGATTGACTACATCTGTGGCAAGACGTGATGGAAAACCTCAATATCTTTAGCCAAAACAAGGCCAATAGCTGATCGTGGGACAGACCATCAACTGCTCATATTCAAGTTCAATGTGAAGTTGAAGACAATTAAAATAAGTCCACAAGAGCCAAATATGACCTTGAATATATCCCTCCTGAATTTAGAGACCATCTAAAGAATAAATTTGATGCATTGAACACCAATGAGTGAGAACCAGAAAAATTGTGGGATGACATCAAGAACATCATCCGTGGACATCTGGTAAGATGGAGGAACAGGCAGACAAGTGACACAGACCATATTCAACAAAGAAAACTAAAACCAGTTGACAGAGATACAGAAAATAATGCTGGAACCCTGAGCTTTGAAAGGAACTATACAGAAGTGGATTAGACACCAACTCATGGAAAAACCTGAACAAAAACAGTGAGTACAGAGACGGTCAGAGCTGTGGACTGTCAGCTACTCTGATGAAAATAACAGCCTGAATATTTCCATGTGGTGTTGGGACCTGAGAATTGACCTAAAGATCAGTCCCAGTCACTGAGGGCTGCAGGGATAACTGCTCTGGTGGCCTATGACTAGGAAGAGAAACAGCAAGGAGGGAGAAAACCTGAGCGGTGGACTTTCTGCTGTCTGGAGGACACAGCCATTTTGATTGCTTACGTGTGGCAGCCATTTTGGATATTTAAAGTGACTGAGGGCACAACCATTTTGAATGATTACAAGTGGCAACCATTTTGGATTTTAAAGTAATAACATTCTTATTTGGATTCCAGGGACCTAAGAACAGGCTCTGTTTGCCAGGGTCAGCAAGGACATATGAGAGGCTGACAACAGGACAGGAGACAGGTGGTGAGTGTATAAATGCTGTCAACTAGTTCATAGAGGAGCACAGCACAGTACCCTGCCTGTATAGATAACATACACACAAAACAAAGAAAATGAAAATTGTGGGCAAGTCATCACAACATATAATCACCAATTAAATATGAACACAAAAGCATCACAATGCCTTGGAGACAACAGAGCATCACAGTCCACACAAAGAAGCAAGATGAAGCAGGAGAAACAAGGGACCAGGATACAGACCCAAAACACATCCTGAGGAACATGCAGCATTGGAACTCCCTGATAAGGAATTCAAAAGAGTTATATTTAGGTATCTTCAAAGGATTGAGAGACAGACCAAAGAAAACACAGACAAAACCCTAGAAGAGTTTCGGAAGAAAATACAAGAAAAAAATGACAAAATAAATGAAAAATTAGAAATAATTCTAAATCTACAGATAGAAATCCAGAAGATTAATACTAAATTGTCAGAAATAGATAACACATTGAAAGGGCAAAAGAGTAGAATTGATGCAATGGAAGATAGAATTAATGAGATTGAAGATAAATACCTGAATACTTCTTTGGAAAGGGATCAATCAGAAAAAAGATCAAAACAAAATGAAGAAACCAAGGTTTATGTGCGATACCATCAAAATGAATACCTGTGTGTCATTGGAATTCCAGAACAGGAAAAGAAAAATAAAACCACTGAGAAAATTGTCCAAGATTTATTGGAGGAGAACTTCCCTGATATGATGAAGGATGAGAATATATCCATTCAGGAAGTCCAACAAACCCCAAACAGGATAGACCCCAAAAGGAAATCACCAAGACATATCATCATCAAACTCACCAAAACCAAAGACAAAGAAAGAATCTGAGAGCAGCATGGGAAAAATGAAAAGTTACCTACAAGGGGCAACCAATAAGACTAAGCTTGGATTTCTCAACAGAAGCTATGCAGGGGAGAAGACAGTAAGATGGTATATATAAAACACTGAAAGAGAAAAATTTCCAACCAAGAATTATGTACCCAGCAAAATTGTCCCTCAAATATGATATGATATTAGGACATTTCCAGATAAACAGAAATTAAGGGAATTTGTTAAAACCAGACCAACCTTACAAGAGATGCTAAAGGGAGCCCGTTGGACAGAGAAGCAACAACAGCCAACAACAACTGACCATTAACACACATGATGTGAAACCAGCCCACATATGGAAGTATCCAAAATAAATAAGCCTACAAGATTGTAAACAGGGAACTAGAGATGCCAACCAACAAATGAGCACAACTACAAACCAAAAAGAGGGGAAAAAATCTGTGTCATTACAGAACTTCTAGATGGTGGGGAAGTCAAGACAACTACAAGATAGAACAGACTGTTCTACACTCGGGAATAAAACTATAAATCACAGGGTACCCTCAAAGAAACATGATAAACATTCACACCAAATAAAAAAGAGGACCAGCATAAATATTCAGCAAATGCTAAAACAATAGCAATGAAGGAAATGATAACATGATTCATAAACAAAACGAGCTCAGCATAGAACATTATATGGAACAAAGAAATTGACACAATGAAAAAGCACATCACAAAAATGACAGCAACAAATTCATATTTGCTGATAACTACATATCTGGCAAGGGACTTATCTCTAAGATTGATGGAAAACTCCAATGCCTCAACACCAAAGTAATTAACAATCCAATTGAAAAATGGGCAGAAGACATGAATAGACACTTCACCAAGGAGGATATTCAGGTGGTCAGCTAATACATTAAAAGGTGCTCACAGTCATTGACACACAATCATGGGATGTAAATCAAAACAACAATGAGATATACCATCTCGCCCCAGCACTGATGGCAAGGTTCAGTGAGACAGAAAATAACAAACGCCGGTGGGGATGTGGAGAGATTAGGACCCTCATTCACTGCTTGTGTGACTCTGAAGTGACACAAACACTGTGGAAAGCAATATGGTGATTCCTTAGAAAGTTGGAATTGGAGATACCATTTAACTCAGCAATCCCATTACTAGGTATATATCCTAGAGAGGAAAGAGCTAGGATAGGAACAGATACATGCACACTCATGTTCATCACAGCACTATTTACAATAGCAAAAAGATGGAAACAACCTATGTGCCCGTCAGGGGAAGAGTGGATGACCAAACTACGGTACATATACATACTGGAATGCTATGCAGTACTAAAGAATAATGTAGAGTCTGCAAAGCACCACATAATATGGATGAACTTGGAGAACGTTATGCTGAGTGAAATAAGTCAATCACAGAAGAACGGAAACTCGATGGCACATAACAACAACAACAAATTATATTTCAATAAAATGTATTTAAAAAAAAAAATCATCCATGAAGAAAGTAAGAGGTCATTAAAAAGATTGTTGTTGTTGTTGTTATGTACCATCGAGTCGGACCCGACCCATAGTGACCCCTCCTTGGGTTTCTGAGGCAGTATCACTACGGAAGTAGATTGCCTCATCTTCCTTCCAAGGAGTGGCTGGTGGGTTTGAACCACCAGCCTTCTGGTTAGCAGTCAAGTGCCTTAGGCACTATGCTACCAGAGCTCCCTTAAAAA